TGCTGGGCCCTTCGCCGCTGCTGCGCACGCGGGGCCGCCTGCTGCTGCTGCTGCGTCAGCAGCAGCAGCAGGGGCCTTCCCTTCCAGGCCCTCAAATGGGGCTTCAGCTTCCGCCAAGCAGCACTGCTGCTGCTGCTGCTGCTGCAGCGCAGCAGCAGCAGCAGCAAACGGTGCTGCTGCTGCTCCTGAACCCCCCCGGCTCGGAAAACCGCATCCCTCAAGTCCACCGCCAACAGCAGCTCCTGCTGCTGCTGCTGCTGCTGCAGCCGTGGCACTGTCTTCACATGGTGAAATGTCCACCTGCTGCTGCTGCTGCTGCAGCTGCTGCTGCTGCTGCTCTCCCTCTTCGCTCCAGGATTTATCGCCTGATACGGATGAGTAAGCCCCTAATGGGGGTACCTCTGGCTCTGATCCGCGCCGCTGCTGCTGCTGCTGCTGCTGCTGCTGCTTGCTGCGGTGCCGTTTCACGGCAACTGTCTCCTCAGCATCAGCAGCAGCAGTTGCTGCTGCTGCAGCAGCAGTATCTGCTGCTGCTTGGCGCTTTCGCCTGGAGGCATGCGCTTCTGTCTCTTCTGCGGGAGACATTTCGGCATCTGCTGCAGCAGCAGCAGCAAGACTGCTGCTGCTAGAAACGCTGCTGCTGCTGCTGCTGCTGCTTGTTGTGCGCTGCGGCAGCTGCCGGGGACAACTTTAAAACGAAACAAAAGGCTCAGCTCAACTGGAGCTGGAACGTTTCAGACTGCTTTGCTGCTGCTGCTGGTGCTGCTGTTGCTGCTGCAGTTGCTGCAGTTGCTGCTGCTGCTGTTGTTGCTGTTGCTGCTCTCAAGCGTTCGCACAAACGGGCACTCTCTGGAGGTGCTGCCGAAGCAAAAGGTCCCTAGTGAGTGTTCTGCTGCTGCTGCAGCTGTTGCTGCTGCTGCTGCTGTCGCTGCTGTTGTTGCTGCTGTTGTTGCTGCTGCTGCTGGCTGAAAGCCGAGGCATGACGGCGTCGAGTGCTGCGGAGGCCGAGAAGGAGCCTTGTTGCTGCCAGTTTGCTGCTGCTGCTGCTGCTGCTCACGACAGCAGCAGCAGCAGCAGCAGCAAGTGAAGGGAGGCTTGCGCTGGGCTGCGGTGTACATACATCTGGAGCGGCGCCCGAAAGTGGAGGCGTCGGAAAGAGCAGCAGCAGCAGCAGCAGCAGCAGGAGCTGCAGCAGCAGCAGGAGCAGCAGGGATGAGGCTGCTGGAGGAGAAGAGACAAGGAAAAGGAGGATCTGGTGCTGCTGCAGCAGCAGCAGCAGCAGCAGCGAGACAGAAAAGGCGCGGAGCCGTGAGGCGCGTGGCGACCACAGCAGCGGAGCAGCAGCAGCGGCAGCAGCAGCAGCAGCAGCAGCTGCAGCTGGAAAGGGAAAAGAGAGATTGCTGCAGCAAAGGATTGTTAGCTGGGGCGAGTGGAGAGAGGCGGGAAAGGACTGCAGCAAGGAGCAGCAACAGCAGCAGCAGCAGCAGACACAGCAGCAGCACAGCCTCTGAGTCTGCGTGGGGTTCTCCGCGGGCGCCGGCGACAGATAAGGGGTTTTAAATGCCGCAGAAGCTTAAAAAGGTACTTTTAATGAAAAAGAAATGCAAATTTACATTTGAAAAGAAGCAAATAAAAGACAAAAGAGTCAAAAGCAGCAGCAGAAACCCCCAGGCGCTCTCGGGACCGTCCGCAGCAGCTGCCTCGCTGGTCGCCGCCAGACCAACACCGATTCTCCCCCCCCGAGCCCCCAAAACCCCCGAAAAAACCCTTTTTTCCGTTTTAATTGCATTCATTGAAGAAAATTAAAGAAATTTGAAGTGTTTTTCGCGAAAAACCGGAAAATCGGGGCCGCGGCAGCAGCAGCACCCGGGGGCGCCGCTCTCCAGCCCAGGGGCCGGCCCTGCAGGATTCCGCGCGTCTTTTTCCAATTTAAAAACAAAAAACAATTATAAATGAATTAATTTAATTTAATTCCGTCGAAAGTTTCGGTCCGGAACTCGCCGCGGCGCCAGATTCCCAGGTGTACGTACACCCGGCGCCCGCCTCCTCCGCCGCGCTTGCCCGCGGTGTCTGTCCAGCTCCCCGCCCAAACCCTCCGAGGGTTTACGCGCGAAATTAAAACTATTTTCCCTTTTAATTCCTTCACTAAACTCCAAATTCCAAACCCTAAACCCTAAACCCTGCCCTTCGCCTTCTCCGCCCCGCCCCGCCCAACCCCGCCCAGAGACGAGGGTTTGCGCCCCCCGAGGGTTTAGGGTCTGCAGCCTCCGAGGCCTTCCGCCCAGACAAGGGTTTAGGGTTTACGCAGCCTCGAGAGACCCCCAACGAGGGTTTAGGGTTTAGGGTTTCCCGGCGCCGCAGCGCCGCCACAACCCCGAGACGAAGGCTTCCCACCCCCCGGGGGTTTAGGGTTTAGGGTTTAGGGTTTCTTCTCTGCGGGACTTCTGCCCCCACTTCTTCGCCTCGGCGAAGAGCAGTTCAAAAGAGAAGCCCCACTTTCGAGGGTTTAGGGTTTAGGGTTTAGGGTTTGCAGAGGCTGCGGCTCCCGGGCGGTCCGGCCGCAGCAAAAAACACCCACAGAAGAACAAAAGGAAATACAAATAATAAATAAATAATAACTAAATAATAAATAATAAATAAATAATAAATAAACAATAAATAATAGTAAACAATAAATAATAAACACTAAAAGATGAATGCAAATAATAACAAATAGAAATAATAAACAACTATTCGCAGCCATCAAAAATTGTGAAACTAAATATGCACCCATTGCGCATGCAGCACTTTTGTTCTTTTGATCTATTCACTTTCTTCACCCCTAGGGTTTAGGGTTTAGGGTTTAGGGTTTAGGGTTTCTATTCATTTGCATGCAGTGATCCTGCGCACGCGATCGCGGGTCTCAATAGCATGCATGCATTGTTTGCAACCATTGAGCAGCATTTATTACAATTTATTTATTTATTATTTATTCATTTATTTATTTATTCATTTATTATTTATTTATTTATTTATTTATTTATTTCTAAAAAGCCGTTTTCGCCCGCCGTCCAACTTCTGGGGTGTCTGTGCACCTCGCGGGCGCCGCTGGGGTGTACGTACACCTCAAAACTGCAGCTCCGCCAATTCCGCATTTTCGTTTTTTTTATTTTTTTTCAAAAGTTTCCTCTTCTTTCTCTTCTGCAGTGCGGCTGTATAGCAGAGCCCTGAAGATAAAAAACAATTCAATTTAATTTAATTTAATTTAATTTAATTTAAAAAGAATTAAAATAAATTGGAGTTATATTAAATTAAATTAGAGTAAATTAAAGTTAAAAAGAATTAAAAAGAAATTCCACTTTTCAACAAAGAGCGAAAAGTGGCAAAGAGCGAAAAGTGGCAAGGAAGTAAACAATCAAATAATTATTTGAAATGCAAAATAAAAATAAAAATGAAATAATAAAAGAATTATTTATATGCAAAGCAAAAGAAATAAATAAAAACAATAAAAATAGAAATGAAAACACAAATAAATAAAAACTTCTTACGCTGCAAAACAAAAGAACAAAAATAAAAAGAAATAAAAAATAACAAAAATAAAAAGAAATAAAAAAAAACTTCTTACGCTGCTTGTGGGGCCAAAGCCTTTAAAACTGCTGCTGCTGCTGCAGTCCAGAAGCAGCAAATAAGAAAGACAGCAGCCAGGTGGAAGGACAGGTGAAACCCCGAAAACCCTGGAGCTGCAGCACTCAGCAAAACAGGCCTTCCAAATTGCTGCTGCTGCTGCTGCTGCTGCTGCTGGTTGTGCTGCAGCGGTGGCTGCTGCTGCTGCTGGGGCTGTTGCTGCGCCTCCTGCGGCGGCCGTTCTGTCTGCTGCTGCTGCCGCAGCTGCTGCAGCAGCTGTTGCTGCTGCTGCTGCACAATTTGCTGCAGCGGCGGCGGCTGCTGCTGCTGCTGCTGCTGCCACCGACGGTGCAGCTCCCGCGCGTGTTTGTGCTGCTGCAGAGCAACAAAAAAGAAATTGAAGAAACAAAAACCAATTACAAACTTATTTATTTTATTTTATTTTATTTTATTTTAAAATAAAGATTTTTAATTCGAATTAAATTCAAAAAGTTCCCAATTCTATATTTCTTTCCAGACCCTCTTCAGCCAAAAAAAATAAAATAAAGAGAATTAAAGGGCAAATAAAAGGAAATAAAAGTTAATCAATTAATCATTTAATGAACTAATTAATTAATTAATTTGTTTATTTATTTATTTAAACTAATTAATTAATAAGTGGGGCCCCACAGCAGCAACTTGTGGCAGCAGCAAAAGAGACTTCAAAGAGCCCACGAAGAAGCAAAGGGCCCCAATGGAAAGAAAGGCCGGCAGCGAGACTGCAGCAAGCCTGTGCAAACAAAACAAATAAATAAATAAATAAATAAATAAATAATATATAAATAATAAAAAATAAATAAATAAATAATGGCGAGCTGAGAGCCGCAGCTGGATGTGCGCAAATAGTCAATTTAGGGTGTATATGCAGCAGCAGCAGCAGCAGCAGCTGCTGCTGCTGCTGCAGCGGGAGCAGCAGCAAAACCCGGACCAGCAGCAGCGGCAGCAGCCCGCAGAGCAGCAGCAGCGCCATTGCCCACAAGAGCAGCAGCAGCAACAGCAACAGCACTACCCAGAGCAGCAGCAGGAGCAACAGCACAGCTACCCACAGCAACACCAACGCCAGCAGCACTACCCACAGCAGCAGCAGCAGCAGCAACAGCAGCAGCAGCAGCAGCAGCAGCAAACACGTACGATTCATTGGCTGAATAGGCAATCATGGCGCATGAAGAAGAAAGCAATCCATTTCGAATCCAAGAAAGATAAATATTTTCTAAATTTAAAAGAGTGCCTTCAATCTGAAACATGAGGCCCATTTGCTGCTGCTGCTGCTGCAGCTGCTGCAGCTGCTGCCGCTGCAGGTCCTGTTGCTGCTGCTGCTGCTGCTGCTGCACCTGCTGCTGCCGCTGCAGCTGCTGCAGCTGCTGCTGCAGCTGCTGCTGCAGCTGCTGCTGCACCTGGTGCTGCTGCTCCTGCTGCGCCCCAAGCTGATCCACGCACTTCAGCCGGTGCTCATGCAGCAAGTCGTGCTGCTGCTGCTGCTGCTGCTGCAGCTCGTTCTGCTGCAGCAGCTGCAGCGGCAGCTGCTGCTGCATGCTGCAGCAGCAAGCAACAAACGCACAAACGAACAAGCTACGATCCAAGTAAAAGAAACAAATAATAAACTATTAACTAATTGTTTATTAATTAATTTAATCAATTTAATTAATTTAATTAATTGAATTAATTAATTGAATTAATTAAAAATAAAACTAAATGGATAAATGACTTACTCAGTAAATGAAGAAGGCCGAGATAAAAGAGATGAAAAGTAAAAGCGGCTGAGGCGCTGCTGCATCAAGCCAATGCTGCAGCAGCAGCAGCAGCAGCAGCTTTTGCTGCCTCTGCATACTCTGCTGCTTCTGCTGCATCCTTTGCCGCCAATGCTCTGGCCTTTGCCAGAAATGCTGCTGCTGCTGCTGCTGCCAACGGTGCTGCAGTAGCCTCTGCAGCAGACGCGGCAGTCACCGCGGCTACTGCTGCTGCTGTTGTTGCTGCAGTTGCTGCTGCTGCTGCTGTTGCTGCTGCTGCTGCTGCTGGAGTGTTGTCTCTCGCGCTTAAGCCCAGCAGCACGGGCGAAAGAAGCAGCAGAAAGACTACTGCTGCTGCATGCAATATGGCTTTTCAGGAGTCCCCTGCAACAGCTGCTGCTGCTGCTGCTGCTGCTGCTGCTGCTGCTGCTGCTGCTGCTGCTGCTGGCCAGGAGCCCCCCTCGCGCTGCGCTGGGGCCCCTGCAGCAAAGTGTGGGGCCCCTCAAGGAAGAAAGGGGCCCTTTATAAATATTTGAACTAAAAAGCATTTTAATTTCTCGTGTCTGCTGCTGCTGCGGAGGCTGAGGTGTACGTACACCCCAAGCTGTCTCGGCAAACCCCCCGAATCGCTCAGCCCAAATGCTGCAGCAGCTTCTAAACTCTTTTATTTGCCTGCTGAAGTCCCCACAGCGGCAGCAGCAGCAGCAGCAGCTGCAGCAGCAGCAGCAGCTGCAGCAGCAGGGGTCGCGCCACCCTTTTGTCTAATTTCCGAAGATTTTTCGAAAGCTAATTAAAACGAAAAGTCAAAAAAGTCAATTTATATTTACACACTAACAAAAAGATAAGAGTCAGCCACGGGGAGCGCTGCAGCAGCAGCAGCAGCAGCAGCTGCTGCTGCTGCTGCTGCTGCTGGGGCTCCGCTCGTAGCTGCTGCTGCGGGGCTGCATGCGTTCCGTGTCTTTTCTTAATTTAAATGCGAATTTATTTAAAAATGAAATTAAATAAATTTCTTTTTAAATAAATTAAAAAGCAGCTGCTTGAACAGGTGTCGATACACCCCAGCCGCTGCGCGCTGCAGCTGAAGTGTATAGGCAGCTCCTTCAAAGGCATAGAAACCCCTAGCTTGCTGTAGCTAGCTAGCTAGCTAGCTAGCTAGCTAGCCATGTTCAGCCAGCCAGATAGCCATAGCCAGCTTGCTAGCTAGCCAGCGAGCTAGCCACAGCTAGCTGCAAGTGGCTTGCTAGCTGGCTAGCCAGCTAGCTGCAGCTAGCTGCAGCTAGCTGCAGCAAACCGCGGCTAGCTACAGCTAGATGCAGCTACCTACAGCTAGCTACGGCTTGCTACAGCTAGCTACAGCTAACCACAGCTAGCTGCGGCTTGCCACAGCTAGCTACTCCTAAGAGCGTTTAATTCTGGCTAGCTGTGGCTAGCTAACTAGATCTGCAGCCAGCTAGCCAGCAGCAGATGTAGCTAGCTGGAGGTAGTAGCTCGCTGGGGCTAAATAAGTGGCTGCAGCTAGCTACAGCTAGCTGTGGCTAGCTGTGGCCAGCTGTAGCTAGCTGTGGCTAGTTTGCCTCTTTTCACTGCAGCAAATATCTCTACTTTCATTTTTGCTCCTGTAGATCTCCTAATTTGCTGCTTTTCTTTGCCTAGACTTAGCAGCTGCTTCCGGGGCTGCCAATACGCTGAACTAGGGTTTAGGGTTTAGGGTTTAGGGTTTGGAAACTGCGAAAGCTCCTCGACTCCTGCAAATGAGGTTTTAAAGCCACTTATTAGAAACTACTTTCTACCATTATTATTATATATTTATTTATATATTTATTATTATTATTATTATTTAGTTTTTAAATGTTTAAAAAGTGGAAAGCAGAAAGAATTCAAATTCAGCAGCAGTGGGCTGCTGCTTGCATGCAGTTTATGTTGCATGCAAAGTTTGGATTTAAAAGAACAGAAATGTTTCAAACTTTTTAATTTAAATAAATTTAAAAAATAAATTAAAATTCATTTTTAATTTAATTTATTTATTTTAAAAATATCTTTTTAATGCTCCAAATGGCATTTATTTTCGAGCTTTCTGAGCACTTTCATTTAAAACTTAACCCAATTAATTTGATTTAATTTGATTTAATTAATTTAATTAATTTAATTAATTCAATTAATTTAATTAATTTAATTAATTTAATTAATTTAATTCAATATACTTCAAGCACTTTTATTGTTGCTTTGCGTGTAATGACACATTTCCACCTTTATTATTTTAATTTCACAATATCTTTTCTTTATAATTATTCACATGCTCACAAACGTAGGCATTTAATGCTTCTTTACACACCCCAAACCCCAAACCCTAAACCCTAAACCCTAACGAGGGTTTAGGGGGGCCTTGGGGCCCTTAAAGAGAGTTTAGGGGGTCCAAGGGCCCTGGGGGGGCCCCT